CGGAAGACACTATAGACAAACAGCGTCGCTGTACCCACACCGTCGATGGTGTCCGGCACAGCCGCAAGGTGAGCCATCTTGCTCAAACGGTCCCCAAAGACCACCACACCCGTGTTGTCCGCCGAGTCCTTCGGCAGGCTAAACACAGAGTCCATGCTCATGGACTGCTAACACCCGGAGGATACCGGTTTACTGGCCAACGGTGCCGCCGCGTTCGGAGAGGGTTTCACCCTCTGACACATCCCATACGTGCGCACATATGTCTTCATCCATTTGTACAGCTTGGGCCCCATCGCAACTCACCGAGCTGTACTTTTTCTCACGGCCGAGATGGCCGCTAAGTGGGTCATAGAGGATACGGTATTAAAATCTTCATCGTGAGGGACCACACTTCGTGGCGTATCCATGGAATCGGTTCTATAACACAGCGACCCGTTATACAACGATTATCGGGGTATTCGTGCGAGCAAACGCGCTGGCTATTTCTTGTCCGAGTTTCAAACTTCTCGCTCCTGAAAGCCTGTAGCAGCGCTATACCGTCACTGACGACGTCATCGTCATGCTATGAGCAAGCACATAGTCCGGTGTGCGTGACAACGCATCAGCCAATGCATTCTGCTTTCCTGTTCTACACATCACCTCTAAGTTATAACCGGCAAAGAATGAGAGTCACCTGGCCATCCTCTGCGAGAGGTGAGGCGACTGAGTCGCAGTGCGTAATGAACCATATTCGTGTAGATCACAAACGGCTAAGAGCCAAGCAAGTGCACCCTGAGCTTGTCAGGTGCATACTTTATCACATGTAATTTCTTGTCATGGACTGGGTGGATTCTCTTCGCAGCCTTAAGCTGGTGAGATTCGAGCGCGATCACCCGATCAGGCCCCTCGGCGTCTTTTTGCAGCAGTGCGCAGCCGATGGCAAAGCTGGAAGTGTCACAGACGACACTCAAAGGACGATCGGGGTCTGGCAACGCCAGAATTGGTGCATGAAGGAGATTGTCTTTGACTGTGTCAAAAGCCTCCCAACATCCTTCCGTATCCTTCTTAAGGAGATTAGACAATGGCCGTGTCATTTTCGCATAATTTGCACTATATTCGTGCAAGTATTTGGCTAGACCAAGCCACTTGCGCAAGTCCTTTTGGTTCTTTATGACCGGCCACTTCACAATGGTCTTGACCTTAGCGAGATCCGCTCGAAGGAGACCCTTTCAACGAAGCAATTAAAAAAGGGGGATTTCTTCCGCACCAAAGATGGACTTATCGGCAATAGCATCCAGCTTATTCGTGTGCATGCGCTCGAGCACCGCTCTCGGATGGGCGAAAAGGTTTTACACCTCTGTCCTCCCGTGCTCCGCACGACTGTAGACGAAGATCTCGTCGAAGCATGTTTGTGCATACTCCCGATGCGACTCGAATAATCGCGTTGCAAAGCGATTTGATGTTGCTGGCGCATTTGACAGCCCTTGGGGCATCACCAGCCACTCCCAGAGCATCCCGCTCGGAGTACTCACCGCTGTCAGTGAAATATCACTAGCTCGATGAACAATTGGTAAAAAAAGATCGACCGAGTGCGCTGTGTTTTGTATAGCCAACCATATTGTATTGAATAACTTCGTTTCTAGGAATCGGCGTCTGTGTCGGAATGGTGGCAGCGTTTAGCTCATTGTAAGCATGAACGATACGCCACTTGCCGTTCGGGCTTCCGAACACAAAAAGTAAGTGCCGAATGGGGAGACTTACTCTCACGCACCATTCCTGCGTCGTTCTTCGCACGAAAAAAGGCGTCAATGACGTCACAATGCTCCTTGGGCAGGGACTATTGGCGTGTTACGCAGTATTTGGTTCCCAGAACTAGGTCAATTTCATGACGCACACCTCGGTTCGGAGGTAGGACCGACGGAGAGTCTTTGGAGACGACGTTTTTAAATTTTCTTATCAAAGGATAGATCCAAGAGATCCTGCAGGATCGTCAATCCACTTCGTGCACTCAGCACCCTCTTGGTGTCCTCCAGGACATTTTCATACAGAAGCGCCGACGAGGTAATCTCCTATTTGGTCTTATAATGTCTACCTCGGCTTAATTGTCTGCCTGCAAGGCACCGCCAAACCCTTTGAAGAACATCTCATTCAGCTCAAGAAGAGCACCCACCGCGGGAATAGCGTCGAGAGTGGCGTCGCTGTCTTTCCCCCCATCATACCGTTGACAAGGGTGCAGAGCTGTGCGCTATAGTCTACAGTAGATAGACCTCAGGTCAGAGTCGACGCCCCGCGTCTTGCAGATAACATACGGCTTCGCCGTCTCCTCTCTATAGAGGATTTACGCCTCGTCGAGACCAATGAGAACACGCAATCGGCGTCGTCTAGTGTCCCCACTCACTGCTCCGTCAAAGACGTGATGTTATCAACAAAGAGCTGCTATTTCCGCAGTCTTCGTCCAGTGAATAACGCGCCACACCATGCGGACCACTAGGGCCTCGCCCTTGATGGCCTCGCCCTCGAGGCCACGGCCCTTGGCCGACCATGTCACTCTTGGTATGCAGCGACTGCTCAAATACTTGAGCAGCGCTCAGTGCGTTATGTGCCACTCCACGTTCAGCTTTTGAACCACGCTCGGGTCTCCTGTCCAAAACACCCTAGTGTTCGACAACTCGGACACTCCGATATCCAGCACATTGACTGTCCCGATCCATTTTTCGCGCCAACAGCGATTCTAGTTCCTAGCAGAGATGGATCCATGAGGCGCGCGTAAAAGTCTTCGACCTCCAATCCATCCATGGCCCATGGTGTTCCAACAAGGCCATACCAAGGATAAGGTCATACCTTACATCCAAGTCTAAGACTAAGCAGCGTCCCACGCTATTGAACTAAGAAAATCGACACCGAGGTCCACAGGGACCCTCAGCACAGTGACACAAGATCCCCATTGTTAAGCGGACAGTGATAATACCACTCAACAGCGTTTCCAGCGCCTCAGCGTACAGCTGACTTCCTTCGATCGTGAAGCGTCGAGCCTAATCGCTCGACGCCCTGGAATTGATAAGGATCTTCCATGGCTTTTCAAAGCCCTTCATGGTCGCTCTTACGACCAGCAAACCCGGCTCGCACACACGTTCCGCGATCAAAAGCACGGAGCTGTTCGGGGCTGGCCCCTGCTGCCCTCTATCTCTTTGAAGCACAAAGAAACTCAATTATTCCCCAGTAGGGCGCCCCGCGTCTACTGGGCTTTCTCGTTACCCGCGACAAACCAGTCTGGTTAGAAGCGGGACGTCAAGGGAACAACCAGTCCGAAGGTGATGGGTGTCACCACAGACAAAACACCGTCGGGAGTTCAAACGCTGCTCGGCAGCTCGAAGATCCCCCTCCTCTATCTCAGCATATTTAAGATCCATTACCTCAGGCCCGCTCGACGAGCTCTGAGGGTGTGCATTCCAACCAAATTGTGCCGACTTGAAGTTAGATACGGCATCTTATGCCATGTTCACCGCTTCTTCGAAAGAAGACGGATCCACACGGAAGACTTCCATTCTGGCCACGCCAGTGCAGAGACCATCCATAAAGATGGTCAATGCGACCGCCTTGGGGAGAGGATCTGCTGCCATCCCGGCATTGAGAGCTATCAACTCTTGGACAGAGTCCACCAACTTTTTCTTGCCCTGTCGGGCAGCAAGGAAACGCGATTTGCCTTATTAGGAGGCGAGAACACTTGCAAAATCTGATGCTTTAGCTTCTTCAAGGAGGGAAACGTAGCTTCAACCGAAGCACCGCACGTAGTGCCCATACTCGCACTCGGCCCCCGAGCTTGGAAATAGCTAGCGTCACGCGCTGTTGCTCGTTTTGGAGCATGGCGGATGCCCTAGCCATCTCGACCTCGAGCAGGAGATACTCTCCATCCTTACCCTCGAAGGTATTAACGCTCGCCATGACCGGGAGGAATCACCCGTCACCGACAGTGGCATCATGGATGCAGTCCACGCTGACAGCTTCTGCTGTAGAATTTCTAGCAGGGCGTTTTGATAGCCCGAAAACACCTCTAGGCGTGCGTTTATCGCTTCGGGCCTTTGCGCAACAAGGTGCTCCATGCCCTCAGGGCCCAGCAGGGTTATCAGCTTATCAAGCTCGTTCTGCATGCTTTGGGGCAAATACGAGTATTCCTCCATCCTCACAGACGATCAGTCAGGTGTAGATTGCCTACGAGTGCAATCAATTGCAGCGGGACTGCCGAAGCTCTTTGCTAAGAGGAAGCTAAGCTAAGGCCACCGACCTTACGTTCTTTACAAGCTGCCTCCAAGATCACTGAAAGCCTTAACCAAGGTAAGGAGACACTTCCGTTCAAAGTTGAAGCTGTATTTAATTGTTTTAGCTGCGGCAGATCATACTGCTAATTGACAAGTATGTCTGTTCTCTTAGTAGATCCGAAGCAAAGGGATACGATGCGCCTCATACATTCTATGATACTTGAGGTCCTCCCACGATGCCCCACCACACTCTGAATGTAGCACTATTGTGCATAAGACGCAAGGAATAGGAAAACCTTAGATTTTTCTAATTAATATAGTAACACCTAATTATCATGCATTACTACTGGCAATCCTGCCGCATCGTCGCCACACTACTTGTGTGATCACACCTACTTGTGTAATACCCACCTATCTACGGTCACACCATCCACCCTTGCTAGTGATTGCGTAGCCACGGTAAGCACAACAAATCGTCGAGGAGCATGATACCCTGAGCTGTTCGACATCGAAAATCGAGCACCTGTGTCTCCGTTGAACAATACCAAATTGGTGGCTGTGAAAAATAAACCTATGCGAACAAGTGCACAGGACATGATCGTTCATGGCATAGCTAGCATTTTAGATGAATTTAAGCAGGGAGGCAATTTACCAGGTTTTCCACGTCATCTGATCCAGGACTGATTCTGAGGTAAATTGTGTCACACTCAATTGAAAAGTGATAGCCCCCAAAGCCGAAACTGCATTCAAGAGCGCAACGAGCAGATGGAAGAGAGCCGTGACCAGTTCTCCACCGCCGCTGACTCGACAGCCGGTACGAAAAGTCAAACTCCTAAAGAAGGTACTACTCTTAGATCCACTCGATCCAGACCCGCGAGTGCCGGCACTCGACTGCGTCAGAAGCCCGCAAACGCCGCCGCGGAGCAGGATTTCTTCGCTTCCTTAGGCATTGACAACACGTCGCGTACTAGCACTACTAATATCAGTAATCGCAGCAGCAGCTTCTCGATTCTTCGCCCTGGGTCCGCTGCAGGTCCAACTTTACCCATTTTATCATCACCCGGCTGGACTCCGCCGCCCTTCGGTGGACTGGGGAGCAAGAGGTCAACGCCACTTTCGGTTCCGTCCAACGTCGGATCTACAATAATTTCCAGTGTTGAGACAAGCTTCACAACGCTACCAATGACAAAATTAAGTGATGAAATGGTGGACAGTGATAGCGGAGCTACAACGGTGTCGGCTGCACTTCCAGTCACTTCCGGTGTAAAGTCGAGTACGACGACAGTCCGATCGAACCCTACGCAGTTATTCTCGATGGAGGATGCCGAAGAGCTGTACAGTGACGACGGATGGAACTGCGAATCACCTTCAACGATACTCTCGTACTCAATGGAAGCTACAGCTAAATCGACGACAGCAGCTCCGACTGTGGCTGCCACTCCCAAATCTTCGGCGGATGAGTATGCGTGGGGAGATGATGATGAAGATGCTTCGCCAGTTGCAGCCTCGGCTGCAACCCATATGCGCTCACCTCTGCTTGAAAACCCCATCGCAAGTTTTAAAGGAGAGCCTGCTACTGAGACAAAAATGGAAACTTCAAGCACGTCACAGTCGTTGCCGTCACGGTCAGCGTTATTCTGCAGCAGTGATCGTGAATTAAAGAGCCTTGATGGTGCACAGATGGCATCACAAAATATTGAGCTTGTTCACCCGCCACCGCTTCCTGACGAAGCTAGCCCATTGGAATTGAGGAGGCTGGAATCGGACAGTCCGATAGTAACGAATCTGTTTGATGAGGAAACGATCTCGGATACTGAGCTATCTCCTATCCAATCTGCCTCTACAGTGTGTCTTGGAGCTACGTCATCTTTCTTGTCGACAGAGTCTGCACACGACGCAGCCGAAAGAAATTGTGTCACTGCAGACAAAGTGCTGACCGATGTGGCTTCTCCTGGTGCAAACTTCACTGATCAGCGTCAGAACGTTGAGCGCAAAAATCAGTCCGAAAGGCCCGTGGGCAATGAACTGTATGCAGTGGAGACATTGGAAAGCTCTACAAATACTGTTATGTCTGTCTCCACGACAAAATCGACGATTGCACAATCAGACACATTTGTGGCACCTCCAGTTGAGCTCGCTAGTCCTGGTGGTGCTGCGGGTGAGTTTTGGGGAAACGATGACGAAGCAGAATTATTTGATAGCGACGAGCATGCAGATGTGGAGTGGAATGTCAGCATCAAGAGTCACCAGCGTACAATGGTCATTGCAGAAAATTGTAAAGAGTCGAGCGATTCCGCTTACTGTGGCCAAGAGACTTCATTTTCACTTTCATCTCAGCCGTCACCGCTTCATGTTGCTGCCGAGTCTTTCATGAAACAGGAGCCAGTGCCTGAAGATACAATGGTAGCCAGTATTCTTGCACTGCCAGATCATCAGGAGGAGCTTAGAGTCACAAGTCTAGAAAATCCGAAAGCAACGATTAGCCAGGAGACTGCAGCAGCTCCTGTAGAATCATCGATGGAGTTGCAACAACCAGCACAACACGAAGCAATGAACGATTTAGAGGTGAAGACGTCTGCGTTATTGGTCAATGAGAGCCGGACATTTTCAAGCGTAATTTCTGAATCCGAGAATCTAGATAATCTCACCAAAGACTCTTCTGAACCACCGCGCACCGCTCGTTTTCTGCATACTTCAACCGGAACAGGTGGCGCTTTTGGACATTTACCATCACTCCATGACGATGACATTTCCAACTTGAAAGACGACCGTGTTGGTTCATTATCCAGTACGCATGATGCTCACCAATCATCTCACACGTCAGCGACTTTCCCTTATGGTGAAAAATGTGAGGACTTTGAGCCATTCACTGACTCTAGTGGAAAATGCGACTCAGTACCTTTACCGTGCGGTGATGTAGGTCAATATTCATCTCTGGAACAAGTGGATCTGCGCAATGTAAAGCCTCACCAAAATTTTCGACAGGGTCGTAGTGATGACGAAGAACGAGACTCGGTAGTATCCTTTTCGGGAGAACACTCGTTTTTTCCGCCTGCTGGGCGGCCTACTTCTCTTAATGGAGGCTCACAATCATCATTTACAAGCCACCGCATGTACCCATCGTCACTTGCAAGCACGGATCATGACGGCAGCTCCATAGCATCTTTTGGAGTATCTTCTGCCGGTGCCACGTTTGGCGGCTCAGAGCGTGTGAGCGACGGGGGTGCTATTTCGGATGGTACTATGTCTGAGACGCCGAGTATGGTAGGTTCATCGAATGCTAGCACAGCTTTTGGTACGGATTTTGTTTCGGTTAGCGAGGGGCAATACTCGGCTCCCGGTACAACCATTGGTGGCTCCGACAATGCAAGTGATGGAGCATTCTCTGATGGAAATGCATCCGAAACAGCAAGCCTGTACGATACTGTGAACACGAGATCCCCATTCGTTTCGGAATACAGCGCTACAAGCGAACACTACATCACGGAAGCAGTTGTGCATCATGGCCAGCAAGAACATTATTCATCGACTGCGCCAGACTCCCGTCGGGTCTCTTCATTACAGGAATCTTCTGCAGTCGTTGCATCGCCGTTTTTTGAAAGTACTGATACTTCTGATAAAACGCCTTTGGCTAGCTCAGCGAATCTTTTCTCATCATCTCAAAATTCGATTAGAGCGCTATCCGCTGCCACAACAGCGGATACCACTTTCGCTCGTGAGTCAGGTTGTTTTCCTCAGGGAGAGACAACTCAAAGTGCTTCATTGCTGTTTGGTGCCACTGCCGGTGCTGATGTTCCTAACCCCTTTAGCTCGTCAAATGCTTCCTTTCCTTCGATGTCAGTAGAGACAAGGTCAGCTGATGCGCATGAACTCCCTACTTCAGACGCTGGAGACCTTTTTGGCGCAGGACCTCCCGTCAGTAGTTCTGATATCGCATTTGCGCAGCCGGTGACCCACTCACTGAGTTCTAGTTTTCAAGCGCACGGCCAAGTACGTTTTTTCTTTTTCAATGTTCTCGTGAATATTAACTCGTATACTAATGCGTTACATGGTGTTCGCGTCTGTTTAAATAGACCTTTAGCCAAGTTGAGCACAAAGATTCTTCTAGACAAATGGTACGAGAGTCAACTTCAAGTCATTTCGAAATTTATAATCCTCAGCACCACGGTTCGAACCTGTTTGCTCCCCATGTTTGTGATCAATATGATGCTAAAAACTTGATTTCAAAAGCTGGTAGCACTGGCGAACTGTTTGATGGCCATTTAGGCATGGATCAAAGTATATCTCAATTTGGCATAAATTCGCAGACTTCTGCAAATACTGTTTCTGGAGGCTATTTGCTATCGGGCAACCACGCTCTAATGACAGCGAGTCACTTCAAGGAATTAGAGGATCATGATCAATATGAACAGAGGATCGCAACATCAATCCCGGATCAGGGATCAATGAGGAGATCGAGGTCTTCGACTAAAAACGTTCATCCGCAGATTGCGGACAGCACGTTTGGTGGGGATCATCGTCAGATACAAAATTTTGATGCGGGAGCTTTAAGACACCACATTCGTCAATCATCGACGAGCTCTGTCTGTAGTAGCGCTCGACGTGATTCAAGCGGAAACAGACAACAACAGTGTGACAGTGACCAAAGGCCATCTCCTGCTAAGCAAAGCGGCTACGAGGACATGCAATCTGATCAAAGGTTTTCATCGGAAGTTACGGGTAATTACAGTCATCAATCTGCGGCAGACGTATCTGAAAGTGTTCAAGAATCGCACGATAACGCGCACCTGTGCCTTAATCAAAATCCCTCAAGAGGAGCTAGCACCCACTTTCTATCATCGTCCGTCTCATCTGCTAGTGCATTCTTTGGACAGTCGTTAGAGTCATCCTCTGACATGAATATGATTACCGCACCGACAAATGATTATCAGCAGCCATTAGTAAGAACTGACGCCCAGCATTTGTTCGAACGAGATGAGAGGAGGACATTATATAATGGAGAACAGCACAATGTTAATGTATCAGCGACTGTGATGCGCCCTGGGGTAGAGACGCACAATTTTAACCAAATGGTCCATTGGAAAACACCAGCTTCTCTGGCAGACAGCTCGTCTGATAAACCTAGTGTCTCCCGAAACGCGTCTGCCTCTTCATTAAGTCGGTTTCAGACTGTCGTATCTCACGAACATCAATTTCATGCGCAGCAGCCCAAAGAAAACATTTCAGCTCGTCATCTTGTTGATGCAAGCTCAAGTTTTGGTAGAGCAACCACTGCAACAGGTGCAATAACAGCTTCATCATTCTTTGGCGGCGCGCATTTGCAGGACACGTCAGAAGTTGAAATGGTGCAGCATACCAAGGCTAACAATCTGAGTACGTCTCGCGTGCAGGCGACACTTGATTGTGCGTTCTCTCCGCAACAAAAACAAGAACACCAGCAGGAACATTTAGCAGCCGAAGAGGGTCACCAAAATTTTTCTGTTGAGTACGGTCGAGCGACCTCAACCTTACACGTGTCTTCGGCTTCAGTGGTGGAACCAACTACGCTAAATCACATGGATCAGCGCCGTCGTGAGTTTTCGTCAACTGCCGTCCAGAACACGCGATCACAGGCATGTGATACATTCGCTAGTTCAGGCTCTGACAATTTTCGTGAGCAGCACTTCTCCGATTTGTTTCATCCCAATTTAGCATCACAGGCACATGATGTCTCCTCATCACATCAACATGAAAAAATGGTGTACTGTCATAATCATGAGCAGGAGCTTATACCAGCTAATGTTTCTCCAGCCGAACCCATGCAGCTTGTAAATTCTTACTCCGCCAATCCTCGTGCTGATGATACTGGCTCGTATGGCGAGAGTAGTGTGCATGTACCCGCCTCTCATCCAGAAAAGCACAGAAATGTAAATGTTCATGGAGCCGATGTTTCAAGTTTTGCCGATCAGATGCAGGGCCAAGCGTCGGTACACGAGTACTCTCACCAGCAGCAACTATCGCTTGATCATCCCGCTACTGATTTCAAATATCATCGTGGCCTGAAGCAAACTCAAACATCCGTCGATCACCGTTCTTCTGATCTGTATGAGTATGGGTCTAGTTGCAACCGCGGACATGAATTGATGAGCGAGCAATATGTCTCTCGTTCTAACCCGGCGCATGTCATGATGACCAGTTACAAGTATAAAGATCCATGCGTTGCCCCTCCATCGTGTCTGGCGTCATTTGGCTTTGGTGGCAACTTGGTGACAATGTTTCCTAAGCGAAAAGTGCGACTGAATATTGCCGGAAGCAGTTTTCGCAACAGTCCTCGGGGTGCTTCAAAGTGTGTATATTTTGAACGATTACTGAGTGCTGTTTTCTCTTTTCTGGTTTGACCTTTTGTTTGTTCTTTTCCAACACAGGTCGTCTGATTTCGAAAACGGTGGCAACGGAGAACTTCGAAAAGGACCAGTCAATTTGTACCGCATGGATCAACTCCACCCGAAGGACAAGAATTTTATGCAAATGGACTCTTTTCCAGGGCCATTGACAGAAAATATTACTGAAAAGTGCATTTTAGACTATATCGACGATCGATTGAATAATGGCGATGCCGATGAAAGTGCTTTTGAGGATGAGAACGACCGTTTGCTTTTGGGTGTTCTGCGTATTCTAGTTAAATGTAATGGAAGGATACGCTCAAAACCTGGTACACTGAAAACCAATGATCCCGACTCGCCTGAGTCTCAACTCATTAAAATACTTTACGAAAGTTGTCAGCGGCGTAGCGGAGACAAGGGGCTCGCATTAGCTGCGCCACGGAATGCTCAATTCGCTTTGGTAAGCTTGTTAAAATTACGTTTCATGCGTACTCTCAACTCACAAGCACTATTATCTACCCGTCAGCACCCGAATCAAAAGCTAAAAAACGCGAATCAACTTCGCGAGCTCCTTTTGATTGGCGATCGCAAAGGTGCAGTCTCAGCTGCAATGGGTGCGCAAATGTGGCCAGAGGCTATGTTGATAGCTTCGTTTACCGACAAAGAAGAGTACAGAGTAAGTCTGAGTCTGAGGGTTTGTCGCATAGCATTTTGATCTCACCAATTTTTTGCTTGCCAATTCAGCAAGTTCTGCGGGCTTTTATCGACGAAACGTATGCAGTAGGTGACCCGAGCCGAGCGCTGTTCATGTCCTTTGCGGATCAACAAGAAAAAAGTGTGCAAGAGCCGAGGCGGCTGTTGCATACAGATGTTCAACAGCATACTGAGACTTCCATTCTGTCAGCATGGGTATCACACGCTCAAATTCTCATCGCGAATAGGACTGCGGACACTAACAAAATATTAACAGAGCTTGGCGACCGGTTATGGAACGAAGGGAATCTGGTTGCAGCCGCACACATATGCTACTTGCTTGCAGGAGTTCAAGTGGAGGCACCAGTGACAACTTCTAAAATCGCACTACTGGGAGGTGATCACCGCACGCCAACGGAAGCGCGATTTTACGTATCGCCAGGCGCTGTGCAGCGCACGGAAATATATGAATGGGCCCACAAATATTCGAAGGGTGCGTCAGCGAACCTCATGATCCCGTTCCAAGGCTATAAGCTTATTTATGCCATGCTGCTCGCTGATCACGGAAAACTTGAGACTGCATTTAGATATGTCACGTCCATGCTTGCGGTGATCAACACGTTTACTGCGACTTCGCAGCCGGGCACATCCATGTATTTGGAAGGGATGAAGAATCAGCTTACAGTGCTTGATGATCGACTGCGTCAGCATCTTGGACAAGACCGAGTGGCCTCTGTAGCAGCTTCGACTAATCGAAGTGGAGCCAGCAAGCAAGGTAAATGGGGTTTCGGAAGTGCGTTAAGCATAATGGGCAAGATTGTGAACCGCGTGGTGGAGGGTAGCGACTCGACAAGTGTTGCACTTGCCAGCTCGAGTTCGAATCCATCAGGTGGCCTATACGCAAACGAAGTGACCCCGGCCGCTGCGAGTTATCCAAGTACTTCATCTGTCACTGGAATGACCTTATCCCCTATGCCTCTGCACATGCAGCAGCATGCTCAGCAGAGTATCCAAGACCATTCGAATCCACCGTTATCTCAGGGTAGCGCTCCGGGGTCTTCAAGGGGCTACAACAGAAATGTAAACGCGTCGCCAGCAAAACTTAACGTACGATCGGATGCTGGGGAGATTTTGCCGTCAGGCCCGTTATCGGGCAACGGGCATCCAGGTCTAGTCCAACAGCAATTACCTAGTCCATACTTAGGAAAAGGACGTCCGGGTTCTGCGGGACAGCTTTCAAATAACGATATCGGACCGTTGATACGCTCAAATCATTCGATGGAACCCCCGGGTAGCAATCGCAGTACACACAGCAACAGTAGCCTAAGCGGAATGACTGAAGCTGCTACAAGTGTGCCGCGATATCACGCGCCGTCGACGCCGCAGCACCGGGTTTTTTTGTCACAGACTTCTCAGTATTCACAGCACATTGAGACTCCACGCTCAGCCGTTCCGAAACCAGCCCCGTTAGATTTGTCTGGCGGCGTCAAATCTTCGAGTGAACCCAAGACAGTGTCCGCTAATTTAGCCGCAGAGTTGACTGCGTCGCTTCCAGCTTTAGATGCCTCCACTGTGAGTGGACCCGCAAGTGACAAGGGAAGAGCAAGCCCAAGGCTGAAGAAAAGTGCTCGTTCGAAGACACCTCCACCCAGTGGAAGCTCGAAAGGCTCCGGATGGCTGTCCGGACTGTCATCTTTTATCGTTACGAAAATGAACCCTGAGGCCAAGGTGGCAAAGCTTGGAGAGCAGATGGAGGCATACTTCGATGAGGATAAAAAGCGCTGGGTATTTCCGGGTGAGTCTGCTGAGGACTCTACAATGCCCAGTGCTCCTCCACCCATTGGCCCGGTTTCTAGCAGTGCGCCAGGATCCAACGCCGCGGGCGTTCCTCCAATAGGCACGAACTCAGCTCCTGGCTCTGTGAGCAGTGGACCCGCGCCTAGTGACGATCCGTTAGCTGCGCTCATGGCCCCGCCTCCATCTTACAGATTAATGAGGAAAGATCCGCTTGCTGCTATGATGGCACCGCCTTCTCGTCCAGGATTGTATGCGCATGGCTCGATTCCACAACGCAAGCCACCACGTCCACAATTTGCAGTTTTCAAGCCTAACTCTACATCTATGCCTGCTTCTGAGGAGTAATGTCAAATTGAGGATGTTGGCTCAAGTTTAGAAGGCTGTGAGATGGATGACATTCATATTGCTAATAAAAATTTAACTAATCCAGCTCTTGCATTAAAAGCATGACGCACATTTACAGGGTCAGTCTGCTTTTTCATTAACTACAGGGGGAGATGTGGTAGATTGCTGTTTTGACATCACCTGCTTCTTTATGTCCTCTACGCCAAAAAAAATGTCTAGTTGCTTTTCGGTGTATCGCTGAATCTGTTAACCACACGAACGTAACATCACGTCGCAAAAAGTTTAACAAAACTTGGTCTGACGTACTCCCGACAAGACGTGATCGTGATGGCTGTGTCCTCTCCGTTTATTGTAATCAGTAAAGAATACGAGCTTAGCCGTCATAGCAGCACAGGCTGCCCACGAGAACACTTGCAATGACCGGTGGTAGCGGCGGTCAATCATTGTATTGTGAACTCGTCAAAAATTAAAATCAGATGTTTATCAGCATTTTAACTTTGTAAGTTGACCAATCAAAATGAACAGACAGGCTAGCGATTTGCATTAGACTTCGGGTCTGCCAACGCACCGCATGTCCGAGCTGATTCCTGGAAAGCTCAAGTATAGAAACTTCTGTACGAGAACAGAAGTTTCTATAGCTTAAGCTGCGTATCAACCAAACGCCTATTTTTTTAGCTCTTAACTAAAGACAAATCAGAAATTTTGCCAATGTACAAATATTTTTGTATTCACCGGTACAGCAGACAAAAATTGTAAATGCACCGCTCAGTGAGCAAGCTGAAAGCATCACAGCTTGATAAAATAGCTCAGGATTTTGCGGTTAGATTTCAATGGTGAACGAGAACTCAGCAGACTTCTAATCTTCTCGCGTTGACAATCGATCACCTTTGCCCAAAAAGTTCACCTAATGTGTTGTTTACCTATGTGCCAGGGTCGTCAAATCTCGTGTGGTAGACACGCATTGATTGAACAATCTCGTAACATAGTGCTCTGGACAAGTCGAAAGTACTCGTGAATGTGGATCACGCCACTCATTGAAGTAGCACCCGCTCTCATCATAACGGGGTGATACTGTAATTTTGTGTACTTGTTCCTTACACATTTTGGTACACATAGCCAGACGCCAAACAGTAATGGCAGTTCTATTTCAAGATAGAACAATGTGTAATTAAAACTAGTCTAGGTAACATTAAGACACTTGCTGGTCAAAGCGTATGATCCCAACCTTAATGGGTTTGTAAAAGTAGATTTTATTTGTAACGGGCTTACACCTCCACTTTTTATGAAATGGCGGGTCAAATGTGCGGCTTACACATGTTGGTGTAATCACACAGTGGTGTGGCTACATCGTAACAAGGTGTTGCTCGGTCTGATGCATAGCGGATGCGATGGCCATCTCGATCCCTCTCACCCAGAGCAGGAGATTCTCTCCATCCTTCCCCTCAAAGAACTTAACGCTCACCATGAGCGGCATAGGTCGGGGGAAGTCACCCGTCACTAACGTGGCGGCATGGACGCAAACGATGCAGACATCTTCTGCTGCAGGTGCTCTAACAGCGCGTTTTTGTAACTTAAAAACGCCTCTAGACGCGCACCGATTGCCTCGGGGCCTTGTGCTACAAGGTATTACACGCCCTCAGAGCCAAGTGAGGAAATCAGCTTATTAAGCTCGTCCTGCATGCCCTGGGGCAAAGCGGAAAATTTCTCCATCCTCACATAGGATCAGTCTAAACGACTCAGGTGTAGATTGACTACAAGTGCTACCAAGTGCAGCGGGCCTACCGTAGCTTTGCCCTTTGAGGAAGCGCAACTTAGGTCACCGACCTTTCGTTCTATACTTAGAACAAGTACGAGTTTGGCGGATCGCAATCCGCTTACTCCAAGAGTAATTATTGCCTTAACCCAAGGCTAATGAACTCTTCCGTTTAAAATCCAAACTGACTTAATTTTTTTATATGCGGCAAAGCCGCTTTATGTTAAATATATAGATTTTCCTAAAGTAAAATCGAAATACATGCATAATTACTGGCTACCCAGCCACATACCGTATTCTTGTTTGGGTGCAGTCACACTATACCCATCTCGGGTGACAAACACCCCTGCTACCAGGGTTCGTGTAACCACGTTACATCGCTAGCCACTTACAGGACATCCTGCTCGGAGTACTTAACTCAGTGAGAGGAACTTCACTGCCTCCCATCAGCAATTCATAATAACTATCGATTAGGTCAAGAGCACTGAGAAAATAGCAGCCAATTGCGTTGTGCTGCATCATCATTATTCTAGAGATCAGTTTGCGCCAAATTTGTGTCTACATTCTCCTTATTCCAAGCATGTACAATTTCCCACCAGTTATTAGCCTTTCTGACACAGAACGGCTAACAGCGAACCCGCTTCAGTTTCGCATAGAAGAAAGCGTCGACCTTACGATGTTTCCCTGGTCAGAGCCATTGTCTCATGACACAAATTTCAGTCAGTGAACGAAGCCAATTTCATGACGCAATCCCATCCCTCGATTTAACACGCTTGCGAGTCTCTCGTCACCATGTCGTGATATTGCTTCAGCAAATGTTGAGATGATTCGCAGGATTTTGAGGATATCCGTCCAACACCTCGCACTCAGTGCTTTTTCGCGGGTTTTCGGTGGCTGATTCATTGATGAGTTCGCCTCCCTCTGGTACCAACCGTACCATTTCGGTGACCTCACCGTCTTGAAATTTCTTGCGCATTTCTCCACAGAGGAATTTTTTCAGCTTTATTTGGGCTTCTACTGGAGAAAGTAAAAAAAAGACTTGCGACCACTAGAGCAACCCCATTCACTGTGTCACGAATAAATTGCCTTTTTGCCGCGAACACATGAAGTTTCACTGCTCCACATGGCTGGGCACGCCACACGGTAGTGCTGACTCAGCAGTACAATGATGTATTGACGAGAATTTTCCCCTTTAATAACTTCAGTATTGTCTTTCTCACTTGCGGCTTTAAGTTGGTCGCTTTTACCAGCTCTGGTATGGGAGATGGCATGTCACGGCAGAAACTTAATGTTCATCAAAGATGATATAGATACCACGACATAACGTCGCCCAATCTTGTCTAGGCAAAGACGCACTCTGGGAAGCACGGTATACATTTGATGAACTTTGCGCAATCTAAATGGATGACCCAGTACGGCTTCTGCCTTTCAAGTTCTCTTCCAGCTACTCAGTAGCACCAACTTGAATTTTTCTATTTTATACACCAAAGCTATCGCAGCAACGTGCCCGTATCAAAGGCGCTTCTGCTTTTTAGCGGAAGTGGGTTCAGGACTGACCAGATCATCAGTAGGAGTGGCGCGCAGGGTTTCTTTAGACATCGCTATTAATCGATGCTTGGTGAACGCCGTTTCAGTCAAGATATACCTAGGCTAAAAAAATCTCGTATCAAGGCGCTGGGTGAGACAGCTGCTTTCCACGTTGTCAACGCCTATGGATTAAAACACATTATGCATGCCTAGCTCCCAAGACACACGAATAACGTATCCCTATTTGACATCTTCAATGCGTTTGCGTAATGTCTACTGTTTTTGACAGTCGCGCGTCCTACTTAATCGTATATTGATGGTAAATTTATCGTGTATTGTTCGAACCCCGCCTTTTTGAGGTTACTGAATTCATAAATACTGATATTTTGTTGCTTGTGAATTTCATATCATAATGTCGATTTCGTGCTTGCACCGTATCGAAATTAACACAATTGTACCTGATTACAGCGGTTAGCTCTTTCACCCTCTTATTTCCTTATATTTCAATATGATATTTCAGTATAATATAAGGAAATAATAGCGTTTTTCTTTGTGATGTTTTGTTTGGAACATTAAGTGTCGTCTACTTAATTCAGTTAAAATATAAAGACGTAAAAGCGCTTTATTCTTTTTATATTCTGTCCAAAATACCATTGAAATATTGTAATTGAAAAGTTTCATTAACCAATTAGCTAAACCGGTCCAATTCAGACCGCCGGATGGAGCAAATCATTCATCTTTCTTAAATTCTAACTGTCCGGTTATTCAAGCGGGTCTCATCCATAGCCGCTCGTTCCTGCAGCTTCTGCTTTTTCAAATATGATGCGCAAGGTGACTTTTGAGCTGGGCCGCTGCGTACGCGAGACTGGCCAGGCATTAGATCGTCTTGGCCTGCGTGTTCTTAATGACAATTCGTTTAAGGAGAAATGTAAGATCTAGCAGCATCTTTAGACATTGTTTATAGTGGACCTTATAATTCGATTCATCTGCTACAGTCTCTCGCCACCGTCAGGTCATGGCACTGTACGATAAGCGACCTCAGATTGCGCACGACGTATGGGTCGCGCCTAATGCAACAATTGTCGGTGACGTCGAGATCTGCAACGACGCATCGGTCTTTTACAACGTAGTAATCCGTGGAGACCTTAACCAGGTGCGTATTGGCAACCGCACGAATGTACAAGACCGCACAGTTATCCACACAGCCAGCTCCACCAATCCTGGACTAGCCCCTGGATCCAATATTGGAAATGATGTGACGATTGGACACGGCTGCACACTCTACTCCTGTACTATTGAGAACAATGTGCTTATCGGTATGGGCTCCATTATCTTAGACGGCGCTCTAGTCGAGTCAAACACAATCCTTGCGGCTGGTAGCGTGGTACCCCCTGGACGACGCATCCCTTCCGGACAGCTGTGGGCTGGCAACCCAGCTAAATATGTGCGTGATCTCTCAGACGACGAGGTGGCTGACATCACAAAGCAAGCAAGTGAGTACAAGAACATCGCTTCCACTCACAGTGACGAGTTCCTTCCCTATGGAACAGCTTATTTGGACGCCGAAAAAATCAAGGCTGCTGGTGGTCACTTGTAGATACTGACAGTCTCCTTTTTTCTTCCTAGTGAGATGATTAGGTCGCTGTATGCATTTCGAAGCAACTTTTGTCACGCAAGTACAGGGTACTAGCAGAAAATACAAGTTTTCGTTTACTGGTTTTCCGTGTGTATTCTCCTACGTTTGTGTCTCTTTTCACGCTTTTTGAAGCTGACGTTTCCGTTTGAAGTGATATTGATCTCATCGCGTCGTAGAGCACTTGCAGTGCTGGCATCATCAATATTTACACCCTTGTAAGTTCCTCCCCAAGGGTTGTATGCACCCAATGCATTGTCGCCTTGCGATGACATATCTTCCAGTGCATTGAGACGTTCTTGCTCATCACATGTACGCTGTGCCTCAACTTCTGCTTCCGCTGCAAGTCTCGCTACAGCGTCAGGGCTTTCGTCAATCTGTCGAACTTCAACTGTATTCCATTCACCCATGCCAGTTGTCTCGTCAATCGCAACGAAAGGCTTTGTTCCCTTATATGCTGCACCTCCGCTAGTGCGCCACTGATCTACCATTTTCTCAGCAGATTCAAGCGACACGCCTATCGGCATCGGAATCCGCAAGCGATCTGCCAGGACCTCGCGTTCCACTATAGGCTTCATTGTTGTTCCACTGTTTACCGTAGTGTCTACTGGCAGCATGTACATGACCGTAAAGCATCTAAATCTACCATCAGTATTAGGAATCGTGTGTACTGCGGCCTGTTCGACTAGTGCATCAAGCCACTTTTCCACCTCCTCAACCCAAATTTGACATGTGCTTCCTGCTTCCAGCTGCGAGTCGTGCTTTTTGCCTTCCAAGTAGACTATGCCTCTAACAGCGTACACACCTCGGTCGTCCTCTTCTTTCTTAACAGGCTCTTCCAACTGGACAAGAGGATAATATTGCCCTCCACTTGACAGCTGGTTCGGTGCTTCTATACCTTCTACTTCACTGATATGTTTCAACTTATACGGCGGTGATTGATTTGTCACACTATTGCAATTTGGTCTTCGGGGTGGTGGAGGCGGCGCGCTTCGTTGCCCCGATCGAGATGGTGCATGTCTATTTGCCATATCCTGCGCATATTTGGCAGAAGCAGCTTTCTCAATCTCCTTTAGCTGGTCGCGTAACTCTTTGTCGGATTTGATAGCATTCGACTTGGCTTGACGCTTGAGCTTGAGCGTGTTCTCAACCTTGTCCTTGTGTCTGCGGCCCTGTTCGTGATGTTTAATGCTCTGCAAATAAAAGCAATTACTAAGATATAAACGTAAATATTATTGCAGAGTAGCCATTGTCTCACGAGTCTGTCGTCCGGCATCCACGCATTGCAGAACTTGCAGTAATGGCGCTCCTTGGACACCCAGTAGTCCACCATATCGTTTTAATGCTTGCGTAGAACTTGGTCTTAGTGCATCTACACACTAATCTCAAATTGTAACTATGTAGAGTTAAACAAAATTAGGTACATAATGCAAGCAAGGTGAATTACACAAGATTACGTGGCACACATTCAGCAAAAAAATGGATGGCCATGGCTCGTATCACATAACCTCGTTTAGCAAGTTTCCAATCGTAATTCTTGAGAGGCAGAAGCAACAATGGCAACTAAGCGTGGTACGTTCTTCAGTGCCACAATCCACGAATGTTCATGGGTCTGATGCTTCTATTTGATCTATAAAAGGGCGTGGTGGTGCCTCTGGCAACAAATTTCGTATGACATTGGGTCTCCCTGTCGGTGCCGTCATGAATTGTGCTGACAACTCTGGCGCGAAAAATCTCTACATCATTGCGGTGTGTGGTATTAAAGGTCGGCTGAACCGTTTGCCTGCTGCCGGTGTTGGAGATATGGTGCTGGCCACGGTCAAGAAGGGTAAGCCCGACTTGCGTAAGAAGGTCATGCCTGCTGTGGTCATTCGTCAGCGTAAGGCGTGGCGTCGCAAAGACGGTGTCTTTCTTTACTTTGAAGACAATGCAGGTGTGATTGTCAATCCCAAGGGAGAAATGAAGGGATCAGCTATAACGGGACCTGTTGGTAAAGAGTGCGCCGATTTGTGGCCGCGTATAGCATCCAATGCAGGTTCCATTGTCTAATTTCTGGTCTGTACTCAAGTTATGATGGAAAAACACCGACAAATAACAATTGGAATCTGCTGTTGCCGTTGTATTTGATTCAAGTCTATCCTTTCCTCTATTTTTTCTTCTTCCTCTTATTTTTCTTAGCAGCTTTAAGCGCAGCTTCTTCTTGAGCTTTACGACGTTCATCTTGAGCTTTAGTCTCGTCTCGAACAGCTTTTTTCAGTTGCTTTAGCAATTTGACAGCTTCATCCAGTAATGATGCCGACAAGCCCTCAACGGAGGAGCCGACGTCGATGGCAGTGGAGACCAACTGTGAACGGTATTCCAGAGCTTGGAGCAAAGTATCGAATATTGTCCCATCATTAAAAACGTACTCACCTGTTTGATCTGGTGAGAGTTCTATAGCCTGAAATGGCAGCAAACTCGCTTCCAGTCGGACTTCAGCAAGCAATCGGTCGCGTAGTGCACCGGAAATAGTCAGCAATTTGTCGCTGCCTCCACGTCGCTGAGCTTCGCCCAGACTTGCCTCGAGAATGGCAATATTTTTACTGTGACGACGCGAGCCTTGCTTGATTTTGGAACATAGAGCGTGGCTTCTAAAAAGTGTACACTCTGCTTCCGCACTTTGTATCACGTGAATAACCATCGATTGCATCACCGGATGAACGTGCTCATATATCGCGTTTGCCAGTGCTCCTTTAAGAGGTTTAAGAAGCGACCGGACCCCAAGCGGGCGTATAGCAAGTAAAGCCTTCACTTCGTCTTGCAACGCGATTTGAGCGATGAGCTGCCGGTACGTTCGCTGCGAAACACATAGCAGTTCGCTATCGGCACCTCTAAGTTCTGCAATTTCCAGTGCAGTATAAAGAGACTCAGCATCTATTTTATTCACCGTCAGTGCATTCAAAATTGTGTCAGTGCTTGGTAGCCTTGTTAGCGATCGACGCTTTAAACTAACAAGTGGTCTCGTCAATCTTTGCTCGGCGTCGAAAACATTATCTATCACATGTGAGTTTTCACTCGAAGATTTTGTCTCCATAGCGTAAAGTGGCGCTATATCACTTTCATTCTTATGGAGAGTCTCAGACGCGTCAACCTCCGATACCATATCCGGTTTGAGTTTGCCTTGATTGCTTACCTCGCTTTCAATAACACCGAAGCCTTGCTCATTCTTTTCAATATCTACGTTTGACGCGCCCGTTTCAGCTGCAGGTTCGAGTCCGACATTATCGACAGTGGGATCAAGTACGGCGATTGCGCGACTGATGAGTTTGCGTTTGCTGTCAAGCACATCGCGCAAGTCTTGCTCTGCCTTTTCCTTTTCTACGGTGCAGTCCTGGCAATAGCGTGCCTTGTATGCTTGAGTTCGTAGAACTGTGGAGAAATCCAGCTCTGCACAGTCTACTACATTTGTTGCGAGAGATGATTGAGATGACGGTAAAGAAGTTGATGTGCACGGGTTTTCATCGCAAAAAACACCGTGGCAATGTTGACACAAGCTGGGACGGCGAAGGCGACTAAATGTTTCTTTGCACCATGCGCAAGCTGTCTGCGCTTGGAATTGTGTCAACAGGCGGCGGCATCCTGGCTCTGAGGCCAGATCGAGTGGTCGATTTTTGAATTTATTACGTGGTTCAACAGCAGCTGAGTGAGCAAGTAGCTGTGCTACTACCTCTTGATGACCACCAGAGCAAGCTAAGTGAAGACATCGATTGCCAACTGAGTCTGCAGCTTCTACGTTGTATCCTGCAGCAAGCAAGATTGCCACCGTGTCGACATGGCCCTTATAGCATGCCCAATGTAGCGGAGTGTTGCCTATTGTCTGTTTCGAATCGCTGGTATGTTCGTCCAAAAGGTGATGCTTTCTAGCCGACGCTGAGGTCTCGTACATGGTATCAGCACCAAGGTTTAAAAGATACAAAAGCACTTCATTACAGCCGCTATAAGCTGCTGCTGCTACTGGTGTCCAGCCACTTTTGGAAATAAATCCAGCAGGAGAACCGGCATGAACCCGCTGCGTGACAGCGTCTAAATTGCCCTCGTGACAGAGATCAATAAACTGCAATCCAGCTTCAACGTCGCAAGAACTTGCGAATTGCTGCATTAAAGGCTCAGGCCGTACGACTATCTCGTTTGATTCCCCTTTTTCGTCCTCAGGAACATCATCGGCGTCTCCGTCGCATTTTGCGTCGTAATCGTTTATATACTTACTTCCGGGGACAGACTGTGCTGCTTTGACAGACTTATACGACTTCCCATGATTTTCACTTAAGGACATCCCAGGATACGTTGCTTCACCGGACGCTGTAATGAAATGTAAATTTGTTCATTACGCTGGCCAAAAATGTATCGCGTCGCTTGAACAAAAAATTTCAATTGTTATCTTACATGCTACGATAGTAAAACGAAGGCGAATGACTACCATTGCAGATATACAAGTCAACGCTAAAACGCTA